CAACTAATCGAGGATTCTTCCATAACTTCCAATCTGCAGTTACTAGCCCATCGTCGAACAGTTGCTTGTCTGTCCCTTCTCTAGCGTTACTGCTTTGGTTTTTATTCTGCGGAGCTTGCCTCGCCAATGCCTCTTCGTGTAACTTTTTCCCACCCATCCTGTATATCTATAGTCATCCTTATCAGATTTCGGTCACAAGATGTACTGCTCTTCTCCAGTCTTTTTTCGCCGAGCTGCCAAGTTGTAGAACATCCAGCAGAACATCAGCTTACAACCTAACACTCTTTAACTGCAGAATCAATAAGCTAGATTTTACTTGAATGTTCCCCTACTCCCCCTTCTACAGTATGCTCCTTGGGGATTTCTCCTCTTACTGTAATTCACATTATGTGTAAAAAAGAACTTGACATAGGCTATTTTTATAAATCGATGGTAATATTGAACCAAAGTTCTCAGCCACACTTCAGGGAGAGTAAGTGCCAGAGTGTAGAGCAGTCTACCGAATCAGATACTACTCTCACATCGAGAAAGATAGAAATGATTTTTCTGTGGGATGAATATCTGTGCTCCATAGTTCGATGAAAGCGAAAATGTGCTCAACACAGCCTAGACCAGGTCTAAAACTGGTATGATTCTCGTTTGCGCGGCAAACAATCGATGGAGTACAGTTTCAGTAACAAGTTTAGAATCGATGTTGATCAAACTAATTCCTCGGCGGTTTTCACAAGAGGATCTGTCGGTAAGATGATTGACTCAGGACATTCAGTTGGGCCCCGTTCGCTCTCATACTGAACTAAGGAGTTTATCTTTATCTTTTTGTTGAACATACAGTGATGCAATTTTAAGGAAGGGGAAACCGGCTAATCGGAGGTCCGTTGTACAACACAGAAGATTGGGAAAGTCAGGTGGTGGTGGCGGGATTCGAACACATCCTCAGGGGAACAAGTTACCATTTGGTCACCACCACCGCCCAAAATCAAAACTGAACCTTCATCCCTAAAAGCCGATGGGAACAGCCCATACGGACCGGAGGACCTACCTTCTGAGGTGATTTATTTCCCGGGTAACCATTTCAAATGAGAGACTGATGTCAACTGGCAGTATTTCCCCATTTGAGGCGAGAGTTATCAAGTTTATCGTCGATGGCGGCTAGTTGAACTGTACATTTGAATTTTCTACTCATCGCTCAAGACGCCGTTGCTGAAGATGTGTTATTTTCTCTGTCAAACGCTGTAACTGCGCCTACTTGCCGTGGATCGATATTCTCAATTCGATTATAAAGATGACAACTAACAGCTACAGTCTTCTCTGCTTCTTTATACCTTGCTACTAACCACTTTTCGCCGTCATTCCTCACACTCTTGATGTGTCAGCATTTAAGGAATTTGCACGTTGAATGATATTTGGCAATTCGAAGGCTGGCACTATGAGGGTCCAGCAAGGCAGTCGAGGTTGAGGAGATTCATTATTTGTGCTTGGATCGTTTGCCAGAACCCCTCCTTTTTGTTCGATTTTCGATATCTCGCTTGATTAGCTTGCAATTTTCTTCAAGTTCTTCATGATTTGGTAGAACTGAAAGTCAATGGGAGAGCTCCATTTCAAAGGCCGATTTGCATCTGTCGCTTCCGTGTCCTTTTGTTTGGAGGGGGGCTTCCTTGGAGGTGCAGACAGAATATGGTTCTAATCCACTGGATTAACCAGTGTGAGCGGTAGACTCGAGCGGATCCATACCTGCGGTAGCTAATGGCGATGTAATCGATTTAAGTACATCAATGAGGAGAGTTTGGCGTCCATCTAAGGCGATGTCGTTTCTTGTGGGGGAGAGGTTGAAGCTTGATAGGGGCGACCCGTTGTCTAAACAAAGTTATAGTAGGTGATCTCTGTCGTCCGTCTCATTAGATTGAATTGCTTTTGAGCTACCCAGGCACAGTTTTGATTCATCCAGTGATCACACTTGATCGTTGGAATCGCCGGCGATCACTACTTTGTCCGTTGAGCGAGCTTTTTGAAGCAGTTTGGAAAGGTCAAGGTAGAAATTATCTTTCATTTCACTCTTATTGCCATCTGTCGGTGCATACACGAACAACGGAGAATAAGCGCTGACACTTAGTTCGATGGCTGTTGACTCGCACTGAACCATTGTTACGTATAATTGGCTACTGAATGAAATCCAGGGGAGAAGTGAGCGCTCAACATTGACAATTGACGCGATCATGTTGCTGGCACCACTGCGAGCGTCAGATGCCGGATTGCCCAACACGCAGACTTGGGTGTGAGGATAAGGTGGGCCCCGAAGAACGTAGTGTGATAATTGAGGTGAGGGTCTTTCATGCATGTTTCGGAAACGCAACATACATCTAAATGTAAAGTTTGAAAGATTCTGGTTGATCGATCTGATAGTGTGCGGATGTTGAATGCGATTAAATGAACAGACGATTTGGGTTTTATCATTTTAACGGCTTCTGACTAGCTTACCTTACATGTTGAACGCTGAGTGGTAGAAGCAAGAGGTGTCTCGTATAATTTGGGAGTGAGCTGAAGGGCTGACCAGCTGAATAGTTTTCTAAATAAGTGCTTGCGATTTTAGGGTGTGATATACTTTGTGGTAGCCCACAGGGCCGTGAAGACGTGCAAGTAATCGCAGTACACTGAGTGCAGTCTCGTCGTGTTAGCTTAGGGTTCCCAGGCAGTTTACTGAGTTTGATTTCCGCTACAGTGGTGTAATAACTACTCGTGTGATCTTAGAGATTCAGTACCACATAAAAACCAATTTACTGCCGTTTTCCATATGGCGATATTTGTCGTTTGCCAGTGTAAGACCAGATACAATGTTATTAGGAACAAAGGAAACGTTACAATCACTGCGAAAACATTCAATGGTAGATAAGAGGAGCAAACTACTGTAACTACAAACTGTGATGTTGCTGATCGGCGAATGAAATTGTTGATTGGTACTAAAAGTTTTACGACTTCCTCTTCATCCACAATCCTCAACCCATGCAGTCAACCAAATACTCAGGATGCAATAGATGCGGATGCGTTGATTTGAACTCTTGGTTCATCGCTTGGAAGGTCTTTGTTACCGCTGTTTTGAAACAGGCATAGCGAAACTGTCCAGAAATACCAGTTCGATGTATTAGTTCCTTCTTGTGGGACGGTGGTCAGTCAGCTCCATGGATTGACTGTACCAGAAGGGGGAGGTTGAAATCTACCAATTATTGCTCTTTTTGCATGATTTGGCTTATTTCGGGCTACAACGGAATCTGTCATCATCAAATTAGATTCCACAATCCTTTCTAAATGAACTCATTATTCCTGTTATCACTAGTTGTCCTTCAGACTTCTCACTCATACACTTCGGTTGTAGGAAACAGAGAGTATACTGTATCACCTCTCGTCACTACAGCATCAAATTGACTGAGAGTCTCATTGAAGCTAACTCCTGAGATCTGGTTTACAGCGGTTACATAGCTCCCATGGGAAGGGTCCGGGGCTCAAATCCTTGACGAGACGTTAGATAAGCACTACTGATTATCTCTTATGAAAGTGAAATTAGAGCGGAATGCTTCTCCATTGTGTGGTTAAGTGAATGTACTGGGGATTGTGAAGTCTAAATAAGGGACAGTCCAAATCAGTAACAATTATTCCAGTTACTGATATTCAAAAAAGAATTACATTGGCAGTATGCAGTATGCAGGATGAACCAACCGGACAACCGATCATTTAGGAATATATGCAATGAGGTCCCTAATATTGAACCATATAGTTGCACAGGGACGTAACGTGTCGCAATATCGGGTGCTAACGATACGGAAGACAAATATTTGACCATTAAAAGAAGCGCAATAAGAAGATGGTCGTTGCACCGATTTAGAGCGTCGATTGGGTTTTTGCACTTGGTGTCTGCTATAGTAGGAAGCATTGCCCATGTGTGATGGGAACATCGGGTGAGCAATGACGAGGATCGTCGTCGTGTGTTGGGTGCGGACAGTCGTTCTCTGAAAGAAGTAATCGCTCTACATCGCATCCGATGACTTGGCCACGTTTTGCGTATGCCCGCACATCATCTACCCTTCTGTCCTCTTTTTACACATGCTGGAAGAAACGTCGCGTCGGTCAGACCATGACATAGTGTAGAGATAGGAAGAAGCTAGTTTCGGCTTCGATTGGTACAGCAGTTCGCCTTCCAGGTTGGGGCCCAAGGGATCGGTATTGTTGTTGGTTAAAGACTCTGAGAGATATGACCCAGAATAGAAGTCAGTGGCGCGAAGGCTGTACGGTCTGCCTGTCGAAATCCGTGCCCCGTAAAAAAGGACAAACTAACAAAAACTATCAAAAAGTGTACGGCGGGGAGACGCTTTTGAGAGCAAGAGGTCAATTGCGATTTACTTCGTAGTCGCACTGGATAAAATTGATCAAACGTTTGTACCAGATACGCATAACTGATGAGCAATAAGTATGTTCACACTGATTGCATGCTTTTTGCAAAGTCTGTCTACTTATTCACATGCCTTTTATTAGCAGAAGTGAAAACCGTAAGTTTCAGGTTATTAGTTCTAAACTTTTTTGGTTAGAGTTTCATTTGGAACTGTCGAAGATATCCGTTTTCTAACTTTTGCTTTAAAATTCGCGCGCTATGCGATTTCTCTCCTTAAATCGGAAATGGTCATGTGTGAGACAAAACATTCTTATCACTTCGTTCATCTCAGTTTCTATTAAAGACAACATTACTACCTTGACTGTTTCAGACAGTGTGCTTCAAAATTTTATTGAACAAACCGTTGACTACTCAAGATTGGCCTCTCTGATGGCGAAACATTTCACTGTTTTGCTGCTCGTTAAAGATCATGGTTGTCTCTGCAAAAAACCATTCGCTTAGCATTATTATTTGAATTCTCCAAATTGTCTTCCATTTGGTTCGGATTGCTAGAGTCAGCAGAATTTTCTTCACCATCGATCGTATCCCATCTTGCTTTCTATCTGAAGGAGCTCCCGGAGCCATGACTGCAGGCTGTTACGCTACTCCACAATTCCAGTTCTCTGGAACCCCGGGAGGAGCAACTCAGCAGTTCTTCCTTAGTCCTCAAAATCCCGGCGCGGCGGGAGCACAAACATTTCTACAATGGTCTGCAGCCGCTCCAGGCACTGCAGGAGCCCTCCACTTCCAGCCACAACCAACCCAACAAGCTAATCCGGTTGCTGCGGCTTGGCAAGCTGTTTCGACTATGGGTGGTGCATTGTACACCCCTCAG